ATCGAGTTTGGGAGTTTAAAATGGGTAACTCCCGCCCAAAATCGCCAAAAATCGCTCATTCACTCCAGAAACCGCCATTCCACCGGTCTCACCATCGGTGGCGTTGAGGGCACCGTCGGCGAGCCTTTAGTATTTAATTTCCAGGACTCTCGGAAAAAATCCGCCGTCAGCGGCGTCAAGGGCGCCGTCGGCGGGCTCTATTGATATGGTTCAATTTCTGAATTTTTGGATTTTGATTAATTTCAAGTCTGAATGCGTTCCAATTTTTCTGTATGGATCAAATTTTTATGATGATTCAAGGGTAAATAAGAGTAGTAGATTTCAACACTGCCACAAACTAACGATAATTTTAAACAAAAACTACTATAATTGTAATAAAAAAAATAAAGATAAATATGGGTTGCCTCCCATAAAGCGCTTGGTTTAACGTTGTTAGCCCGACCTATTCAGGCATTATTCAGGTTGACTGATCATTAAAACCTCTTTAAAATTTGGTCTTTTACCCTCAAAATACGGTTTTAATCTGTGTCCTTTCACTTTAAATCTATTTCCAGTCTTTTGATCTTTAATTTCAGCAGCTCCGTAAGTATAAACTTGAGTCACAGTAAAGGGTCCTAACCAACGAGACTTCAATTTCCCACGGAATTACTTTAGCCTTGTATTGTAAAGCAAAACTTTTTATCCTGGTTCAAAGTTCTTCTAGTTAATCTTCTGATCATCTCATAAGTTTAGTTTCTCCTTATAAATTCTATCGTTATCATATGATTTATTTCTTAATTTTTCCAATTCATTCAATTGTAACAATCTCTTCTTACCAGCATCTTTCAAATTATAATTGAATTTATTAATTGCCCAACATGCATTATGCTCCAATTCTATTGGTAAGTGACAAACCTTTCCAAAAATCAGTCTGTAAGGTGTCATTCCAATAGGAGTTTTATAAACAGTCCGGTAAGCCCATAATGTGGTATCCAGTCTAGTGGACCAATCTACTCTACTAGAGTTTATACTTTTTTCAAGTTTTTGTTTAATCTCTCTATTAGAAAC